GTGAGGACATAGTCAGTCAGGTTCAGACAATCCATGGTTAAAGACCTTAAAATTGCCGAATATGCTGGCAACAATATTCGGTTCGTTGTGATCTGTTACTTGAACTAGTAGTGTTCCTATTCCATCGAGAGCAAGCAGTCCATTTTGCAACATGTTACCTCAACATCCTGCTTTCAGCAGGTCGATTACTGTGGTTGCATAGGCGAAGTCTTTCCTGCTGCCACATGCAAACAAGGGGAGACACTTTAGCATCAGTTTCGAACGGAACTCTCTGCCAAAAGTCAGATGCCTCCCTGCTTAGTCTACGCGAAGAGCAGCACGAGTGACCGTACGAAGATGAATGTTTTGATGAAGAACGTACTTGTCGTTATGATCACTAAGTAAGCAAACCCTTTCACCGTAACCAGAGCGATTCCAACAGGGAATATGGTATAGGTAAAAACTGGTCGAACCTCCAGATGACCATTTGCTGAATTTTACATCTATATCGAAACCGATCTCTACCAACAACATATGAGTAAAAACCAAAACCTAGCGCTCTAAGCGGATGTTGACCGACAGTTGTTGACGCTTCGTCAAAATTTAGTAGTTTGGATATCGGCAGACAGGAGTTGCCCTTGCACGTAAGTGTAAATCGAGAAACGACGAAGTGCGATCGATCGATCGATCGGGTGTAAAACAGAGGGTCGCCCCCAGGCGTTGCCTGTTCCATCAGTCGACCGCGTTTCTTCGTTCTTCGGTGCGTGAGTTTGCGTTTTTCGGCCAATTTACTGATGGCGAAGACCGCTACCTCGTTGTGTGCAAGAACGAGGGACGAGGAAAAAAGAGAAGAGGGACATTCAGTGCAGCTCTTTGCCAGTTGATGCACAATCAGGCGGACTACCTCAGCATTTGCCTCATGAGTGACGACTAAACTTGCAAGTCCAAAAGCCGTTATTGTGAGAAACGACGTCCAACGGTACGTGAACGCCAAGAAGCGAACAGTTGCCTGTTTTTTGCGCGTTGAACGGTCGGTCAAGGAGAGCCACTTTTTACCGACCGACTCTGGGACGTCGTTTATCGCAGCGCCGAGGTGTCCCCGGTAAAAGGTCGTTCTTACGAACGTCTGTCTCAAAGGCAACAACGACGGCGCCATACGGCTTGCGAATGCCGGCAGCGTCGGTGGTCGGTAGC